GTTGGGGTTAGCAGTTATGCGCAGCCCAGAGAGAGCTCCAACATACACAGCAGCTGGTTCAAGACAACCTTGAGGGAGCTGGTGGAACATAGATGTGTTTTCCTGAAAAGCGAGATCAGAGCTAATATCCCCAGTCTTGGTTAGGGCTCAATTTTATCTCTGTTTCCATCTCATTTAACTTCTGAAGGATGTGGATGTTACAGTAATAAAGTGAAATGCGCCCAGAAATGTCTCTGCTAATAAGCCAAACTAACCAAGATGGCTTAGGATGAAACTGAAAGGCAACAGATTTAACAAGGAGAGAAGGAAATATGTGTTAAGGCAGTTGTGTTGCCAGGATCAGATGCCAGTTACTGATGCAGCCAGCTAGAAAGTTGTTTTATGGGAATGAATAACATTTATGACTGCCCTAAGCAGGTCATAAAGATACAAAGAGAGTTACACACCAGGCTTCTGCTGATCACTGTGGGTGCTTGGGGAAGAAGAGCACAGCCCTATGTGATGCATGGCAGCATTTGCTTTTTTCTTTTTTACCTGGAAACATTGGCAATTGCACACTAGAAGAACCAATGGGGTCTTTGGAGTGTTGTTGGTTTCTTCCATGGTAACATATGTGCTGGTGCTAGCGGATCCTTTCTCAGTTTTGACCATGGTACTCTCTCTGCACGTACTCTCATCGTGCTTCTGCATTACAATTTTGGAGACTAGAGAAACAGACTTATCTATGTGCAACAGTGATGGAACCGGTAGAGGCCCTTGGCATTAACTCGAAGTTTTGCGAACTTGGTGGCTTTTCCCTAGGCCTTGCAGGGGATTGTCTCCATAATTAATTACATGACATTTAGCATAATCCTTAGAGAGTGTGTGAGACAGATGCTGAATGCAAAACACTGATAACACCAACTTCACTTTTTTTTTTTCTGAATACCACAGTCTTGGAAGATCCAGCTTTCTGTTATCGTGGAACTGATGGGTCATTTTTCACTCTGTTGGGAGATCCATTCTCTTCATTCTTCAGCAAAAAAAGGTCCCATAAGGATTTACACATTCAGTCAACTTGGCATATGCCCCAGAAGCTTTGTCCAGGCTCCCCTAGATGATGGAGAGAAATGCTCACTTCTAGAGGGTGTTTCTTCCCACCTAACTTAAACACCTACTTTGCATGAGATAAATCACTCTTCATAGTTGCCCATCTTTCTCACCAGCTTAAACTAAGCACCTGTTTACAGGTAGCTAAAATTAAATCAGATGAACACAGGCCAAAGCATTCACTGAACTGGAGGTAGTGGAGAAATTAATATTGACCTGAAGATTAACTTTTTTGCAGATTTTAATGCCTTTTTGCATGTGCTTGTCTCCTCAGAGCTCTGTCCAAGACTCCCTCGGCTTTGGCCCTGAATCAAACCCAGCACTGCAAGCAGCTCGAAGGCTTGGTGGTTTCCCAGGTGCAGCTTTGCCGCAGCAACCTGGAGCTAATGCAGACCATCATCCAGGCAGCACGGGAAGTGATAAAGACCTGCCGTAAAACTTTCTCAGACATGCGGTGGAACTGTTCTTCCATTGAGCTGGCTCCTAACTACCTGCTGGACTTAGAGAGAGGTAAACAGCACTGCTGGCTCAGCTGGGGACATGAGCGAGTAGAGTCAGCCAGCATGTGTGTATGTGTGCTGGGGCTGGGAAAGGTCTTGCTACCAGAGGGGACGTGGAGGGACTACATAGCCTGGTTGTCCTGTTCTCTGAGACCATGTTCATCGTTATGGTGGCAGTCATGCCCAGGAGCTCTCAAGTCCAAGACCTGGTCTCCCACAGCTCTTAGAAGCCATGACACCAATCTGGTCCGCTCATCTCATTAGCAGGCATGGTTGCACTTGCTCACAGACATGGAGCTGCTGTTTAAGGCATGCAGACTTGTCAAGCAGCACACACTATGCATGAGGCTGCACAGTCAGCTTTCATAGGTCAGAGCATCCTTGCACGCTTCTGCTGCAGCTCTATGGCCTCCCACCACCTCCCTCAGCTCCATGCATGCCAGCTCCATTACCTGCTGGCAAGCAGCATCCAGCACAGGGGCAAAAGGAGGCAGGAGAGTCCATGGTGGAGCTTCTTCACATGCTCCAAGAGCACCATGATGGGCAAGTTGCATAAGTCCATGTGCCTCCTTGCCCTGTTGGGATGTTGCCTTGAGTTGAAGATCTCACTTAGGAGATGTGCTCCAAGCTGGTGATGTCATGGGAGGTCTCAGCTGCAGTGAGCTGGTGTGTTTCCTGCTCTGTGGGGCTCAGATTGTGTAGGTCTCTTTTGGGGGAATGTTTAGGTGTCCCAAGAGGCTGAGCTGGAGTTCTTGTCTCTTCCAGGCACAAGGGAGTCAGCATTTGTGTATGCCCTTTCTGCTGCTGCCATCAGCCACACCATTGCCAGAGCCTGCACCACCGGGGACCTCCCTGGCTGTTCCTGTGGTCCCATCCCAGGTGAGACACCTGGACCTGGGTATCGATGGGGAGGATGTGCAGACAACCTCAACTATGGTCTTATCATGGGGTCCAAATTTTCAGATGCTCCCATGAAGATGAAAAAATCAGGATCACAAGCCAATAAACTGATGCATCTGCACAACAGTGAAGTAGGGAGACAGGTAACAAATCCACGAGAGTTATTGTAATTGTACAATCATCTGTAGTGGTTGGTCGCTCTGTGAGGTTCAGTGTCTCTATCAGCTAGCGAAAGGAGCAGGTTTCTCCCAGATTGCTCTGAACTCCTTTGGCCTGCTGAAGACTGTGGCCTGTTTTGTCTCCTATCTATATCTGTCATATAGATAACTCACGCTGGGACTCAGGAGGTCCTGAATGCTATTATCAGCCCTATATAACCGTGGGTGGGATGTCTCATTGCCACCCTTTCTACAGCCAAGGATGGCTCTGGCTTGCTTACCCCAGGAGGTGTGGTGGGGATGGGTCCTGTCGTGCTCTGCCAAGGGCGTTGCACAGGCAAAGTGCTGTTTAAGCGTGGAGGATTATCATCTGCCAGACGCATGCAGCAGCAGCTGCCTCCCAGCCACCCCTGCAGCCAGGAGGGCTGATTTTTACTTTTCGGACTGCTTCGCTAATGATTATTCCTATATCTGGCAGAAGCCGCTTTTAACAGTTTGCATCTAGGGGAGGCATGATGCTTGCCATGCGCAGAGCTTAGTGTGCACCAAGGTGCAAATCCCCATCGCAGCCCTCCATGCAGCTGGAGAAATGGGTGGGGAACTGTAAAGCTGACCCCTGCACCCATCTCTGGGGCTGCAGCGGTTCCCTAGGCTGGTCCTAGCTTAGTCCTTCCAGGGCTGCCTGTGCTTGGGCACTGGAGCAGATAAACCTTGGAGCATGTTGAGCTCATTGGCAGCTGACTGTGTAGCTACAGGCTGAAGTCACCTTTGCAGAGCACAACCATGCCGAATTGCCTCCCCTGGGTGTTTTTCTCTACCATTCCCACTCTATCTGTTTTGTTTTTTTTTTTAATTTTAGTAATGTCTTGAGTTTTTATTTTAATTCTAACGGGCAGATTTTTGTTTGGGACATAGTGTTGCCATGGCTGGTGCATTCATCCCTTCCTGGCAGCGTCCTGCCATGTCCTACAGAAATGAGAGCAGCGCAGAACCAAAGTAAAAGGCTCTTTTGGCCCCATGGCCGGCAGAAAGGCAGGGTGAGGTGCCCTGAATTCATCAGAGCCTTGACATCTCTGTTACTCAAAGCCCAAAGCTGCTGGAGGCAGAAATGGATGTTAATTTTCTATTTATGGATTGCTTTGGTTTTCAGCTTCTTAGATATTTAGAGGGTGGGAATGCAGCCCTATGTAGATATCTGATCAAAATTCAAAATACTCTTCTGTCTGCTGGCTGCAAAGGTGCCTTGGTGAAAGTAATCCTGGGCTGATAGTGATCACCAAGGAGCTGTGGGATCTCATTCCCTTTGCACAGTAGCTACTCTAGAGTGACTGTGCAGAAATCAGAGCCGCAGTCCTTTTCTATGGCAGTCCCTGCTAAGTGCCTTCTTTAGCAAGCTTGTGGGATGTTTGGAGGTAAGAGAAGGGCATTTCCTAACTCCTGCATTCCTTTTTGCAGGTCTTGAAAGCCTCTCTTGAAATGAAATGTAAATGCCATGGAGTTTCTGGGTCATGCTCTATCAAGACCTGTTGGAAAGGCCTTCAAGAGCTGCGAGACATTGCATTGGACCTCAAAAACAAGTATTTATCAGCCACCAAGGTCGTTCACCGGCCCATGGGCACACGCAAATACCTTGTGCCAAAGGATATTGATATCAGGCCAGTTAAAGAGACAGAGCTGATCTACCTGCAGAGCTCGCCCGATTTCTGCATGAAGAACGAGAAAGTGGGGTCACACGGGACCCAGGACAGGTGAGGGTTTCTGCAGCAGGTGCTGACTGCACTCTGAGCCCTGAAGAGGGAAGGGGAAGAGGGGAACATGTATGAATAAGAGGCAAATAATTGGGGAGGTAGCACATGAATGCAGGTGAAGGACATCTCTAACATACTGTATGGTCTACAGAGGCCCGAGCCTATTAGTGGTGGCTGTGGCCAAGACAAGGCTGCAGACACCTTTTGCATTATACAGGCAGGCACAAGACACCTTTTTAAATTCCCTAAGCGGCTCACCTCCGCAGGAACTTGTAATGAACCAGCAGCTGTTTTTTACTGTGTTGAGTCTCTCTAAGTAATTTCTTGCAGTCATTGCTGATGTGATGAGTTGTTACTCTACTTTAAGGATCCTCTAAGTAGGCAACCCAATTAGGTTAACCCAGTTAGGACCAGTGCTCCCAGGCAGCCTTAAAAAAGCCTTGTAAACTACAAAAGTGAATTTTTAGGATTTTTCTTCCACTGCATTTTAAAAATACAAGTGTATTTGTATTGTTCATGTCTCTGCAGAGGAATTTCTTCATCCCATTAATATTTGTGATTTAAGGTCATTATACCCAAACCTCCACTGAGCACAGTGCTATCCCTTTCACATGCAGCAGACAGGCCTGTCTCTTCCCAGGATCTGTTTAAGTCCCACCAAGACAAACCAATTCCATGTTTCAGCAGTCTGAGCATCTCTAGGTGAGCAGTAGACCCTTCAACAGCCAAATAATTGTGTATTTCCAGAATTTCGCAGAATTTCCAGATGTTTTGTTAGGTGGCTGCAATGACTGGATTTCAAGCTGTCTCATTAGTTGCTATCTGCTGGCTTGGCTTTCTTCAGATAATTCTCATAATTCTTCCTTGCTCCTTGTGTTTACTTTGTGGTGGAGACTCAGACAGTCAAGTTGCAAGATGCATGTGCCTGCCCTTTTGTGGGGTGTCTTCATTTTAACTCTTGTTGGACGTAGTAGTCTTTCCATAGTGTATTGAGAAGTTCAATGGAGTGAAGGTTTTACTGTGACAGAAATGAAGTAAATGACCCAAATGCAGAAAAGATACATCCTCTTTGGATACCTTTGATTCACACAAAGCGTTTAATGAGGGGACTTTAGAAGATATCCTTTGGCAATGGCCATCTAATCTGTAACCACAACTCTATAGACAATATATCAACATTTAACTGGTGGAGCTGATCAGTACATGAAGACAGTTGAGTGAGACACGTGTGTCCTTTTTGTTCTCTGATGTTTTGTGGCCGTTACAGTTTTGTATCCTCCATTAGGACCAAAACCAATGGTTGGACTGCTCCACAACAGTGTTTATCTGGCAGCTCTGTGGTGGGAACACCAGGCTGATGTTCATCACTGGCCCAGCGATGGAGCAGTAATTAGCAAGTGAAGATGTTTATGGATCACTGAGGACTGTAGG